CACACTCAAATTTTTAATTAACTGCCTTACAAAGATTTCGTTTTTTGGGAATTTGTTCAGTGTTTTTTTTTTTTTTGGTTTTTTTTTTGCGTAGTCAGCAAAATTGTGTGCCTGGGGCGCCTTGCCACGAATTGGCATTCCCTCGTTTGCTGCCTGGAATTTAATATGCCAGAGTTGCCTGGTCATGCTGATGCCCGGGGCACCCGCCCCAACCAGCCCCTATCAGGACCCGAACTACCCACGCGACATTTGCTAATTAAACTTGTTGTTAAACGCTTTGAACACATGGCGTATGCCAATGGCCGACAAAAAGGCCCAGCACTCCCCCCTTCACCCCTCTTCCAGTCCCGCCCGCCACGCTAATGACAAATGGATGTCAGTTTGTCAGCTCCCGGCTGCGTTGCAGCTGCTGCGCCAATTTTCACTTAACAATTGAGCAAAGTGGACGCAGACAGGTACCACTACCCACTACTCCGTATGTCCAGAAAAGTATATAAATATATAGAATATAATAAATATACATATATATATATATGTCTATCAGAATTGTATTTATAAGAAAATATTGTTGTGTTTGATGGAACCCAATGAATGAATAATGAAAGTTGAAAACTATTAATTGATTGATCAACATCAACAAATGCAATAATGTGGCGCCTCTTGGCGTGGGGCAACACTGTCGCTTTAAGCTGCAAACTTTGCCTGACAGGGGCTTGCACCACTGGCCGCATTGACGTTGCCTCATAATCATTATCATCATCATATATCATCATCATCATCATCATCATCATCATTATATCGTTTCGTTTTGTTTCTTTTGGTTTCGTTTGCTCTTCACTTTCCACTCTTGTCTTGTCTCATCGCAATTCGTGTTCATTTCCTTTTCGTTTTTTTGTAAAAATAATTTAACATGAATATATCGCATTTCATGGAGTCATACATCACACAGCGGCAGGCAACATGCGGCAACATGCCGCTGGGGCGTCGGGGCGTGCCCGCTTCAAGAGACGTCGGGCAGCCGGCAAGTGGCAGCGCTAACATAAACCACAATAATATCCAAAGTCATGAAGGAAGTAACCAAGTGTGAATTTTCGGTTTATGCCTCGCGAACCACAGCGCTGCCGGCGTCGCTGCCAGCGTCAGTGTGCACCCTACAACACTTAGGAATATCAATGCGCACATTGCTCTCTGCCAAGTTGCTGTTGCACGCTGTTGTACGCTGTTGTACAATTTATTATGTCGTTACCACTTCAACAGCGCCACCCGAACCACAAACACCCCACCGCCCAATGCCACATCGAAATATTAATTTACACAAGCAACAATCGACTGCAATTGCAATGCTTTCTTTGTACAGAACAGGACTATTTACGGGATGCATCATTTCGATACCAAAATTCCACTTGCTGCCAACTAATTTCAGTTAAGAATTACATTGAAAAGTTACCGATTGTTTGAATGGCAGCTTCATATATGTGTTCATATAGAAGCAGTTAGTTCGATGTTGATATTTTCGGTGTACCGTTCAAACCAACAACACTCAGACTTATTGAGTTTGGTAAACAAATCTTGGAAAACAAAAAAAGTTGTACACACACATAAACCATGAATAATCCACGAGTTTTGTGCATTTTTGGTAAGGAAAACAATTTTACCTGGCATAGTAAAACAAAAAATAGTAAAAATATTAGGCAATTTTCGCAAAACAACAAGTTGTACGTTAGAAAGCCCCTAAACAGATGTGCCCATGCTCATCCCCTATGCACATTGTTCGAGTACGAACATAAGCAAAGTAGCGGATTCATGCGGCATTCCCATTCTGGCCTGCCAATTCGATATAGAGACATATTCCCCACATCTGCCACACAAACATTGACTGTTTTGATCTGTTCTTATCTGGTATTCGATGTACGCTTATCACACTGCTCATTTTATTCTATTTTCTAACGCTTGCGTTGGTGGCTGGCTTTCATAGGATCACGCTATTTTTAGCTACAAGGCGATCGCCTTACAAGCGTCTGCATTAGATGAGAAAAAATATGTGTTTAGACTTAAGAATTTTCAATAAAATACAGGCTTGCTCGTGAGAGCAGGCAGTTCACAACTATTCGTCGACTCAGCGTCGACTACAAACTATACGTGTTTCATACACACTTCATGTACAATTGTTTTTGTGCACTCTATGTTCATACTGAATAGTTGAGTAACTCTGCATTCAAGGATCAAACTTGTTTTCCAGCTTAATGAAGAACCTGAATCGATTTATTCTTAAAGCATTAAATAGTTTTGACACATTGCAAAAACAATAAATGTGAGTTGTTGTTCCGTGTTAAGTGGTAGCTCATTACAAACTTCTTTCTAGCCGGTTGGCTTCTGTTACTGTGAATGCTCCTGTGAGTTATGTTGTTCTCTGTTGTGTTGTGCTGTGCTGTGTTGTGATGTGCTGTGTTGTGTTGTGTTGTGTTGTGGCCTGTGTTCTATCTCGCTTGAGCTGGGCTCCCCTTGCAGTTGTTTTAGTTAGTGCTTCCGTTTCGCGGACAGTTTGCTTTGCTGTTTTTATTCTTGTGTGATTCTTTGACTACGCTCATACACACACACACACACACACACACACACACTTGCACACGCCCAGAGTGCGGCACAAAAAAATGTTGCAACAAAATATTTACGACGTCATCGTTCCACAATTTTCGTCCACTTGTTTTGTATCTTAAAATAAAAATGGTTGCTGTTGTTGCTGGTTTTCTTGCGCGGGGGCAAATGTAAGAGCAACAAAACGAACAAAATGAAGAGCCGGGCACAGAGAGAAAGGAGCAAAAAGTAAGCAAAGCGTCGTGTCATTTATCATGCATTTCCACTTTTGGCTTCCGTCGACCGGGATATGGCCCAACACAGACGAATGCACGAAATGGACGGGGAGCCAAACGGATGGACAACAGCGAGTTGAGTTGAGTGGGAGCAACACCAGCAGCAGCAGCAGCAGCAGCAGCAGTGGGGCTGGGGCTGGGAGCGAGAACATAACCAAGAATAGGGAACAGCTGAAATGATGTGTGCGCTGCTTTTGCCGCAAGGTATAAAAAATGAAGGAATGAATCAAAACAAAGAGAAAAAAAAAAAAACAGACAAAACACATTTGTGTGGCATTTTTTCCAGCATCATGCCCACAAACTGTGACTCCCACTCCAACTCCAACTCCAAAATCAGCTTCAAACTTCAACTTCAGCTTGAGCAGCAACTCCAATAGCGGCTGCATAGCTGCGGCTGTCCAGTTCCAATTCTCCAATTCTCTAGTTCTCCAATTGGTGTTCGCTTTGGCGCATTCAGAGCGACAAATGAAGTGGCGCTCAAATCATCGATGGTCGCCCAATTTATGAGTTTTCATTTGGTCAACAATTCATATTTCATTTCTATTTCCTTTAACGTACCTCAAACCATCCCTTATCGGTAAATCGCCATGTAAAAATTAATCACAAGTACATTCGACCGAAATTGAAAAAAAAAAAAAAAATGCAGATAAAATATAAAAAAATACAATACAAACAAATCAATGCTTTTCAATCAATTTCCTTTAAGGCAAAGCAACATTTTTACCTTCGTAATATTTGCAGTTATCTTGGCATTGGCGAACAATAAATACTCTACTTTAATTAATTTGCTCTCATAATGCAATCATTTCCGTAGAAAGCAATGCAAACTTGCGAAGTTCTGGGATATTTAATACTAAAATGAAATGCATGGCTTATTAAGCTATCAATCAATTATGATCCAACTGTTCCGGTTAATCCACCCTACGCTCGTTCCCCAAAGCACTTTCTTACAGTTGGCTGCGGCACACTTGCCTCTGGTAGTATTTTCTGGTGTGTTAACATAAAAATATATATTTCTTATACCCAAATGCTTTCATCACAGCGTTACACGCTTCGTTACAAAATTTATAATACCCCCTGCTAAGGTATTTAAAAAAAAAAATAATAAAAAAAAAATAAACAACAAAAAACTTGCTCCGTCATTTTTGCGGAAATTTGAATATGGAAATGAAGCTTGACAGCACGCAGAGCCGTCTCCCCGTATTAAGCTGAATCCAGATTGTGCGGGCAAAATTCTGAAATGTTCCGTAAATTGTTTGCTTTTGATATGTGCCACATTTTTTGAGTGCTTTTCAATTTGCGCGTCATGTGCTATAACGCCAAAAGCTTCACAAGAGTTGCCAGCATTCAACATTGAAAAGATAAATTACATTCAAAATTAAAATGGTTAATAACCACAATAGTAAGCTCTTTACTGTGCATATTTCAAATCCAGTCAACTGACAACCCTTAGTGGGATTCTTTTATCCCCTTCGCACTTAAAGAAACTTGCAACTTCGTCTAAGAACAGTTCTTTCTTCTGTTCTGTGCAAATACTACTAATTATTCCCTTTAGAATTCTTGAATTATGTTCGCCCTTTGAGGACCTCAATGCACCAGAAATAGTTTTTGGCAGCCTCACAACGCAAAGTAATGAAAATTTGCGACAGTCTAATCTTAGTTGCTCCATGTCCAAACAAATATATTAGGCGTCAAATTAAGCTTCTAATTTGCGAGATGTCCAGCTATCAATATAATTGTTGGCACAGCTGCCCATATTTATTGGAGTCGTTGGCCATATCAGAAGCCGGGTCGACCGCATGTGGGCGTGTCATATGCGGCAAGTAGACCAAAATAAAGTCAAGGAGAAAATGTGCCAAACAAATGCGACGCCATTTAGTCTATGTGCCATTGCTGCCGTCTGTGTCTGTGCCACAGTTCTCCTCTTCGTCCTGCGCCGTCTCTGTCTCGTCTGCATCGTTTGGCTGTATCTGCGTTGTAACGCAAATAACCGCAATAAACTTGAGTCCAGTTATCAATGCTACATACTTGTGCAAACTTTGTCCATAGAGACAGACGACATTTTAGAAAAAAATATGAATACATTTTTATAAGTCCACCATCAACTTGCTAATAATCAGTTGCAACATCTGTTCGCGTCATTTTACAGAAACATCAACCACAACAGCAACAACAACAACAACAACAGCAATCTACTCAAGCCGAGGGATCTTGGAGAGGTCTCACATACGCACACAAGCGCCCTTGCAACTATGTCGAAGATGGGTGTGGCAGGGCTTACCCTAATGCTGCTACTGGCGGTACAGCTGCAGTTCAGCCATGTGGATGCCTATTCCAGTAAGTATACGTAATATGGTCTTCAAAATGTTTCATTTTTATTTTGTTGTCCTTGTTGTTGTTCCGTCCTCCTGCTCCTACGCCGCTTTTGGCGTGTTGGAGCCTTGCGTTCGGCCGGTTCAAGCAACTGGCTGGAGCCTTGATCGTCTTTATCTTTCTCTCTCTCTCTCTCTCTCTATTTCTGTATGTTTTCCTTTCCTTGTTTGTTATATTACTCCATTTCTTATATGTGTCTGCGTAATGTAAAAAATAAATATCATGCAATCATCGTCATCATCATCACTATAATCATCTCTCTCTCTCTTGACATTGTTGGCATCGTTATAAAACGTTCGCGTTCCACGTCTTCTCTTATAATTTGTATTATTTTGACTTTCCCCACTGAAAAACCAACAACGAAACACTTAACAACTGTTCCCAACATAAACACCAACACCAATACCAATACCATATTGACCCCGTCCTCGCGTCCTTCGACGATTCTGTCTCCGTATTGAATTCCGTTACCCGTAACGTATGTGCGTGCAGAGTATGGACGCGGCTGCGCCGACATCGGCTGCCTGCCCACTGAGGAGTGCATCATCACCAGCGATTCGTGCAGCTATAGTCAGCGCGACGGCAAGGACTGCGGCAATTATCCAACGTGCCAGCGCAAGAGCGGCTCCAGCACCAACCAGGCCAATCCCTCCTCCTCGTCGTCGTCAGTTAATCCGTCAGGTATTTATTTTATTTATTTATTTGCTCTTTTTTTTGTGTTGTTTTTGTTTTTTGGTTTTCCATTTATTTTTTTGTGTGCTTTATTCACTTTAAATTGTGGACTTGGGTTTGGTGGAGCTTGGCGAGCTCGTTCCAAATTGACGACTGCAAAAACACGTCGTACTAAAATATAGAGAGATCGGCAGACGTTCAGACAGATCGAGGGACATACATGTATACATACGTATCAATAGGTATACATATGTATATGTACATATATTGTAGCTAACAATTATATATGGTTGCTTATCATTTGCATTATTTTATATATGTATATTTTCGTACATTATAATCTACTACTTACATATGAAAATCAAGAACTTTACCTACAACACACACACACACACACATACACACACACACACACAGACACACACATACACACACATTTGCATAAGCGCAAATACAAAATACAACGCTCTCTATTTGACTCATTCAAAACAAGAGAAATTTTGCTTTTTGATTTCCTTCAACGTGCACTTTCTCGTCGCTCATTCATTGACTCATTGCCCAACACTGAGTTTTGGCTGCTGCACACATACATACTAATACATATATGCATCAGTGTACCTACATTCATACATACATACATACATAAATGGATAAATTCAAGCTTTGCAAATCTCTCGCATTCATTTGCTATTGCTTACTCGCTCTCTCTCGCTCTCTGTCTTTCACAAACACTGGCACACACTCATAGAAAAAGCACGCCCTTCCACCAGCTGCTGTTTGCGGCGTGCATGCAAAAGCTCTTCTTAGATGGCTGAAGAGCGCGCTCACATTGGAGACTGAGCGGGAGAGAGAGCTTTGACTTTGAAAGCTTGCTCAATCGCATGCAGCAGTAGCAGCCGCTGGTGGATCGTTCAACGCTGATTAACCAATGGATTTGCATTCTTCTCTCTTTTTTCCCTGTCTATCTTACTCGCTCACAACTGCTCTCGCCGATCATTGCCATGGCTTTCTAACAGGATCCAGCCTAAATACGGGGCCTGAGAGTAAAATATTTGCGCCCGCATCTTCAAATCCCACACTTAACACCTACACCTACTTTAATCATAACAATAACAATCACAACAAAAATAACCATATCAATGGAAATCAAAATAGTAATCAGCAGCAACCGTCGAATGTCCAACAAAATGGCGGCCTTGGCGGCCTTGGCGGCCTTGGCGGCCAACAAAATGGCGGCAATGGCGGCAACCAAAACGTCGCTAATGCAGAGGGCTCAAATGGTGCCGCTGGCGCTTCTGCCACCGGCGTCGATCCGCATTATGTGTTCGGGGCAAAGTATCATATGCCCATAATACCCAATATGCCAATCTTTCCATATAATTCGCCAACGCAAGCGCCAGCTTTTCAACAGTTTCCTCAACCCAATCATCCAGGTAGCGTGCTCAACCCGGGCTATCCGATGCATGGCATGCAGCCGATGAATCCCTTCGTTTTTGGCCAGATACCGTTCTATTCGGGACCGGCCGGTACTGGCGGACCGCCTGGCGGCGGTGGCGGCGTTGGCATGCCTAGCTCCAGCATAGGCATCCTCGGCGGCGGCGGTGGCGGTTTGGCGCCATATGGCAGCAACTACCAGGGCTACCAGACCCATCATCAAAACGCAAATATGTACAACAAGCCACCACCACAATATCAGAACCAGAATCAACAGAATCCCTACAATCGTCAAACCCAAGCGCATCCATCGGCAGCGGGGCGACTCAGCAGCTCCAATGCTGCACTCATCGGCCTATTCGCAGTGGTGCTGTTGCTGCTGGCCAACAGAGGCGGCGGCAGTGGTAGCACGTAATAAAATAAAGTAGCAGTAGCAGCGGCAGTTACTTTCCCCCACTGATCCCCCACTTACTCCTGATCCTGCAACATAACGAGAACAACGACGACGACGACGATCAACCATTGGCAAATCGATCGCTTTGCTTTGGTTTCTTTAAATATGCTTTCTCTTATTGAAATTAATGGTTTTACTGCTCTAGTTTAAGACTCGACATGGGTGGTTACAGCAACAACAGCAACAACAGCAACAACAACAAGAATTGCAATGGTAACAGCTGCAACAGCCATATCGTTGACTCCTGCTTTGTGTGGCAGACTGTGCTGTTATTTCATGAATGGCGGCAGCAACAACTACAGCTACCATACACCCACAACAACAAAGGGATTTGGGTCCACACCAAACATACCCACACACACACGGCACGTATACGTAATTTCAATTTAATATTGTGCGAGCAGACCGCTCACTTGATATCTGTCTATGTGTGAGTGTGTGTGCGTGTGTGTGTGCGTGTGTGTGTGCGTGTGTGTGTGTGTGTGTGAGTTCATTTGTGTGGTCTAACTATCAGTCAGTAGATGGTCCACTGCTGGCCCTGAAGGCCGGTTGCATTTCTCTCTGTTTTTTGCAGCTCAATTAAATTGGAATTTAATTTGGGGCTTGCCCCCAGTGCAGACAACAGCCGCAATCCTTGCTACACATGCACACACACACACACACACACACACATATCAACTTTGATGAGAATTTCATTTTTGTTGATGCTACGAATTTTGTGTTAACCATTTCCTGCTCTCGTTTAGTCGTTGCTGCTCTTCTCACAATTGCTTTGGTTGCAACTGCTGTTGTTGTTCATGTTGTTGTTGTTGATTGCAAAGGCAGTCTATGCTAGGTTTTTGTAGATAAGGACACGCATGTCAATCCAAGTGCATAACAAGCTCATTTTTAGGCCGAAAACACGTAATGAAAATAACACCAAAACAAGTGAATAAAATAAATAAAGAGCTGGAAGCTAAACAAAATCAAAAAAAAAAAAAACAACAAAAAAAAACAGTAAAAGTGCACAAAGAACAGAATTAAATGTAATAATAATAGTTTTTTTTAACAAGTGCAGATAAGGCGGAAAAATTGCCCACAACTTGCAAAAGTTTTTAATGATTTAACTAAAAGAGGAAGTAAAAAAAAAAAAAATACAAACAATGAATCAAACTACAGCTGAAAAATACTTCCAAGCATTACAAATTTAAGATACAACCGTACTAAAATAAGAAAAACATGTAAGAACATTGAAATCGGATGTGACCGACTGTGCAATACTCTGATATCTGCTAAATAGTGGAATATATAGGTATATAAAACTATATCGAGGCATAAGCAATTGGCCATCGATATCAGTGTATTAAGAATATATACAAATATGCTTGCATAAATACTTGAAAATCAATTAAGAACCAAAAGTGTCAACGAAATCTTGAATCAAACTCACCACAGGAAACAGCATTTTTACATGCAACATGCAACATGCAACATGCATTGCGCAACTTGCTGCCGGCTAAGGTAACACAAACAACTGATAGTTTTGTGGATATTCTATGATAAACTGGCCTTGTTAATAGAAATTGATATTTCTGCCTATCTTTGTCAAGAGTATCCTTTTTTGTACAAGCAACAAAGGCAGCGAAAAAAATAAATAAAAACTCTCAAAGAGATAGTTTTTACATCATTCAATCTAATATTACAATACCGAACACAGAAAAGAACAAAAACATTATGCAAATTGTCTTTTGTTTCACAATTAAAATTCCATTTAATTTGTATTATTTTTAATATTGGGTAGTATATATTTATTTATCCTATACGTGTTTTATTTGGTTGTATTATAAATTTTCTTCTGTCATTGAATTTATGAATAAATAAAAGACCTAAAATTAGAGCAGAAAAAAGTACATACATTTATATATACATACATATATAGGTATATTTACTCCGTCCGTACAAACATTTAGCGCACAGTTGTTATTTTTCCCCCTTTATTTAAGAGCACACAAATGCACACATTTATTTGAATGGAACCCATTTAAGAATGCAATGTAAACAGTATTAAAAACTAACTAACGCATTTGATCAATTATATTTTAACCTAACCCAGGCGTAACCAAAACAAAAACAAAAAAAAAAACAAAACAAAACAAAACAAAAATGAAAAGCATGCAACTATGTAGTAATAAAATATTAACAAAAAACAAAAAAACAATACTATTCATTAGTCATTGTAAATTAAATTAAAAATTGAAAGGGTATTCAAGCAACTCGACTATTGACATTGAAGCCAATTGGCGGGGACTTAAGTGATGAAATTAGGGCATTACTTATTCGTGTACACCCTACTAACCCTCTTGGGAAATTGATAACTTGGCGTTGTACATAGCATTCGCATTTACAAGTGCATAATATGTATCTATATACACAATAAATGTGTATGTGTATATATATTATATAATCATATAACAAATATACTTCAAAAGTTTAAGCATTTAAAGAAAACATTTACTAAACCATACGGCAGAGAAGACTTATAAAGACTAAGCTATTAAAAAAAAAAAAACAAAACAAAACAAAAACAAAAACAAAATATGATAACGATATTGCTATCGAGAAATTCATCGATTGTAGGCATACGGATAGTACATTTATCAAAATAAAACGAGCAACTGTAATGAAACCTAAGCTAAGTAAATCGAAAAGAAGCGCATACCAAAAACTCTCCATCTAACTGAACCCCCTTCCCCGTCCACTTTCCAACCCACTTCCGATCATCAAATTATTATGCTTTGATTTCATTTTGCCATTATGTACATATATATATATAACTATATATATATATATATATATTCTTTGTCTAAATCCATTTTGTGTTTCTCTTTTATTTTTGTTTTTCGTTTTATTTAACGCTTTTGTGGCTAACATTAATTGCTTGCTGCTGCTGCTGCTCTGCTGCTCTGCTGCTACGCTGACACTGACTCTGATGTAAAGTGAACACCGGCAACACCCACAACTCGTTTGCGCCAATAGCGCCCAGCGCTCCGATGCCGGATGCAGCTGGTAACCATGGCGGCAGCTCCGGTGGATATGGTGGTGGCTACTCGGCTGGCGGGCATAGTCTCTATCCCTCGCTTCCCAACAATAACAATGGCGGTGGTGGCTACAATCCGTACGGCGGCTATAATCCACAAGGTGGCAACAACCCACAGGGTGGCTACCAGCCAGCTCCGGGCGGCTATCAGCCAGCTCCGGGCGGCTATCAGCCTGCCCCAGGCGGCTATCAGCCTGCCCCAGGCGGCTATCAGCCCGCGCCCGGCTACACTCCACCCGCGCCTGGTTATGACGGTGGCAGCGGCGGCCAGAAGCCCAAGGATAAGCAGGGCGGCGGATTCTTTTCCAACTTCTTTTCAAATCCGGCGGTGAGTCAAGCGGTTTCTGGTATCATTGCAGGCCAAATTGCCAAGCAGTTGCAGGGAGGCGGCGCCAACGGCGGCAATGCTCAGGGCGGTGGTAACAACGCCTATCAGCCAAGCGGCGGCTATTCATCCGGTGGAGGCGGCGGCGGCTCATCCGGCGGCTCATCAGCTGGCAGCAATCTGCTTGGTGGCCTGTTTGGCTCCGTGCTCTCTGGCGGCGGTGGCAATGGCGGCGGCGGCGGCGGCGGTGGTGGCGCTAGCAGCTTCCTGGGCACCCTGCTCAGCGGCGGAGGAGGTGGCAATAGCGCTGCCAATCGTGGCGGTGGCAGCGGCCTAGGCGAGATCTTCAACTCCAAGAACTTTGGCGGTCTCTTCAGCGAGAATCCATCGTCGTCCCGTGGCGGTGGTTCCAGCAGTGACTCTTCTGGCGGCGCCAAGGGCTACCCAACCCAGCCGCCCGGTAGCTACTACGGCAAGTGAGCAACTGAGCAAAATGTGGAGCTGATGCAATCGGAGTGGCGAAATTTTGCAATAGTTTCTTTCAATATCCCATTTATAACTATGCTTTACCCGCTTTTACAAACATATGTATAATCAAATGGAGGGTTTTCAATTAACAGCTAGGAGAACAATACTCACATATAACAAACATATACAGAAATAAATACAAATACAATTACAAAATACAATTACAAATGCAAATACAATACATATACAGACTTGTACTGATGCAGACATATAAACACATAAAGGACGATGATTGCACATTACAAACAAAATAATAATAACAATAATAATAATACGGAAACCAATTATAGTTCATATTAAACATATACTTAATATAAATACGAATCGAAATTGAAATCAAATCAAATCAAATCAACAAATAGACCGAACACAAAAAAAAATCATTTAATTTGTAAATAGAAAGACGTAAGAATTGAAAGCCAGACAACAAATTGCCTTTTCTTTCAATGGGCTCTTTTAGATCAAACTGGTAAGTTTAAACATGAAATTCGACTAGTAGAAGATATGCAAGAAGATCGCTCGAATTACAGCTCCAATTGCGGCGAATGGCAATAAAATACACACGTTCAGAACAAATTATGAGAAACATTTAGTTATCATATTTACTCATTGAAAGAAACCTTCTTAAAAAAAATACAAAAAAAAAACGCTACAAATAGCAATTTCTGCAAATTTCTTGTACCAAAAACCTATTTTTTTCCTTACAGGATGGTAAATATTTTCATTCTATATATTTCATTTCGGGTGCTTTGTCAGATTCGCATCATTTGAGAACATAAAAAGAATTTCACTCACGAACAGCAATGAGTTTAAATATGAAACGGGGGCATCTTGGATCCATACATCCCACAAGTAAAGCCAATAGAGAGGAACAGTTCGCAGGACATCATGTTTCAAGTGCCTAAGGAACGGAATAAAGCTGTTGACTTTAAGCTGGAAGATTGCGCTCGGGTCTCTCTGAGCAAAAGTTATTCATTAAATCCTAACTATCAGTTTCTAACCCATTTATCACCCTTTGGCCGAAAATGTGCGAAAAGGTGAAGTTATGCAAATGCATTTTAAAGCGTGGCCAGATTACAGGCAAACTTTGTGATTTGAGCTGTGAAATGTATACTATATGGCTTATTGATTTGCCCACACTCCCACATTGTCCGACCCGGCTATATGCACACGTGCATTTATTAAAGTTTCAAGTATCCAAGTTGGGGAGATGAATGCCTTCGGGATCAGAGTACAAAAACTGCACACATATCTATCAATAAACGGTTTGTGGCTTTTTACAAAGTGTGTGAGTGCATCCGATCCAAGGTAACTACAACAACGAACCCACTTGTTGTGGCTCTATTTCAGTTGCTAGCTGCAGGTAATTTTGCTGTTGCCTCTGCAGACAGAGATGCACATTCCGACTGGTTGGACTAGCAGTCGAACAATATATTATGCGCTAAGATCCTCAGCTAGTAGTAGTGCCAGCCAGGGCAACAGCAACGGGATGGCCATTTGGCTTCGGTTAACCGACAACCATTTTGTAATTTATTTAAGTAATAAAATAAAGATACGAGTATGTACATTGTGCTGCAAGCACCTGCACAGAGTGCACCAAGAGATGCTTACGTGAGGAGGCGGGGCGGGTCGGATTGGGCGGGTGGCAGGAGAAGTTCACATACAGCCACATCTGTGGCAGTGGCACCGACTACTACACATTGAGTGCGAGTCCTGCTACTGCTGCTGCTGCCGCCGCCGCCAGTGTTGGATAATGCAACAACGTTGTTGCTGCTGTTGTTGTTGCCAGCGAAAGTACGCTTGAAGTACACGGAGCACCTACTTGGCCAAAGTGAATTTAGTGTCAAGTGCAGGAAAATTTGAAAAGCAGCAACGAGTTAGTTTTTCATATTTAAGCAGCACTCGAGCGACAACAACAACAACAACACCAACAACAACATCAACAACACCAGCGGCAACGTTGACGTTGGCGATGGCAATGGCAACGGTTGCACCATTCTTCCACCTTCCACCTTGCAACGTTCCGTTCCCGTAGCCAACCACATTCACATCTATATGCGTCAGGCACCAGCAGCATGGTTGCTATTCGGGATGGTGTTGCTGTTGGCACTTTTACCCCCTGTGTGCGTGGCTGGCGGGATAAGGGGAGAGGTATATTGGTAAGGGGTTGCCTGCTTGACGGCAAAACAATAACGCGCCGCATTTAGAAGCCAAAACTAAAGCCGACGCCGACGCCAACGCCAAAGAAAACGTCGTCGCCAACGCCGACGCTGACGCCAAAGAGGTTGTTCCTTCTGCCCAGCGTCGGATGTCGTTGACTTTTCAAGTCGCATTAGGCGACTGGGCGACTTGAAGAGGCAGCTTGAAATGATTGGAACGAGGTGCACATAAAAATACATATAAGAGGCTTTCAGCTTATTGTTTGGCACAGTCGCTGTCGCGCTTTATGATTGTACACTTACGCCCTTCAGTACCGTCCCCGTCTCCGACTATGCCGGTGGCTGTTCCAGAGCACAACGGCCTAATTTTATTGATATTACACATACTTGTCGCAGTCCAGGTCGATAACAGACACGCCCTTCGCCCTCCACCCTACGCCCTCCGGCCCGCACATAATTTGTTTTGCGCGCAACGGCTTTTTTTTTTAGCAGCTAAGGGAGAAGCAGTAGCGACAAGTAAGTTGATCAACTTTTATGTACATTTCTGGCTGATCCAATCCAATTACATGGAACCATATTCAACCAGACACGCTCTTGTCCCTAAGATGAACAAGCACAGAAACTGGTTTATCAACTGGCAACTGGGGAAAGGCACTGCCAATGTGCAGTCTTCGTATTCAGTTAACAAGCTTGATTGGAATTGGTTTTAAGATGCCAAATCTAAAATATGTTTACGAAAGTAATAAGCATTTATGTTTTGAGCTATGTTTAAGCAAATCAAGGCATAAAAAAAGAACTGAAGTTAGTCAATATTGCTTTAAAATTTAAAATAATTAGGGATAATAAAAAATCCTCTGCACTAATTTTTGAAGTAGCTTGTTGTATTTTGAGATTTGTATTTGAAGCTGAAGTTCGCTGTTTTAAGGTAATTAGCCATCGAATTAAAATCGATAATGCATAATACTTGAGAGGTTATACAATTACTTAGTATTCACACACTGAAGTAGTTGAACTTTGCCAGTCTTTGCTGACTTTGATTTCAATCCCCATTTGTGGCTTGCACTTTGTTCCACAAATTTCAATCTGTGGTGAGTCGGCAAATGGAGCTCAACTTTGCGTGACAAACAATTTATTTTTTTTGAGAGCAGCAAAAACAAGACAGGGCAGCTATCTTCGGTACGCCGAAGATAACACACCCTTGTTAAGCAAAATTCACCAGGCAACATATGAATTCATTCATTATTAATTGAAAACAGTAAAGTTCCATTAAAATAGCTTCAAAGCTGACAGACTATAACATACATCTGCAATAGAAACGGTCAATTTTTTACAATTAATAATAAGATTTCGATGTGTGCAGATGGACTCCATTCTGCAAGGGTATATAATCTTTGGCGTGCCTAAGATAGTTCTCATTTCTTGTTTGCTGTAGTACGTTACTGTTGCTGTTGCTCTTGGGCAATAAACGCGTTACAACCTAATTAATTAAGTGCAAATGATAAAAATGGCCAACCGGCACGAATTACTCTGACCAACAGTGGGAACTTTAACAATTACAAGTAGAACTACAGCTAAAAACAAACGACAACAACAAAAGCAACTACAATTTGGTCGTCAGCTGCAATATACAAAAGAAAAAACTAATTAAGTTTTATGTGCAATTACTGTGGCTCAAAACCAAAAGGTATTGCCTACTTATGTGGGCCGCATGCCAAAATAAGTTACGCTGACCAAGGGAGCCAGTGGCTCCCAGTGGTTAGTGGCCAGCTACAAGCACATGTGTCGCTGTCGCTTGTTAACATGCGTTTGGAGCGTGAGCCAAATAAATCAAGGCCAAATGACAACGAGCCCGACCCTTAGAGCGGTAATACCAACTAAACACAGAGAGTACAAATCACAAATTTAATGCATGAATTAATTGTGTGAAATTTTGTGGGAAATTTAATTTTAATTTTAAATGTTCCTCTACATAAAGAAGTCTTTAAATATATTTCATTGCCAAATGCTTTCAAACATTTTGAAAATACACTCTGTTTGGTCAAACTAATTCAAACACAGCTGATCACTCAATATCAGCTGTCAATTTATCGCGGCTTTGCATAACACTGGTGGAACTTATTCACTGATGTTAACAATACTTGTAATTTAGTAAAACATCGATAGTTCACTATCGAATTAGCCCAAGTTGTAATAAGAACTAGAACAAGCAACGCGCGCACCTTTGTGAAAGAACAATAAAATAATTAAAATAGTTAAATACCGCCCAGACTTGAAGTCTCGTGTGTGCATAAAAAACGCTTTGCACACACTCTCCAAACGTAAATTTATTGCGTCAGACTCAATTTTTAAAGTTGCCCAGGGCAATGAATATACTTAAATTCTGTAAAACATTTCAGAAAATTTCTCGAGTCTTTTTCCTAAACATTATCTGAATGCTTAAAAAACTATCTTTGCCATATTTTCTAGTCATCTGGAACTCATAATATAATCTCGCATCTTATTTTTTAAATTGATATATATATTTTTTTTATTGATATTAAAATTGTTTGCTTATGTTAAAAATACTTTGTTTCGACCAGTTTTCTTAAACTTATGTTTTTTACATTAACTTTTATGAAATGAGAAATTGCTAAGAAAGTTGTCATTTTGTCAGCTTAATTAAACTGTAACAAGGTATTTTCAATGAATCTGCCAATATTTAAAAATCGTATAGTTTTTCTTTGCAAACTTTTTATATTTTTAAATCTATAATCATTGATGTACGCATTAAACATAATTTAAGAACTGTCTGCCTGATTCGAAGTGAAAATGTTAAGAATTTTTCACTCTGCGTGGTAGAATTGAATCAGTAGCATCTTCTGTGACTTAGTATGAGTAAAGAGCTGCTGCATAACAGGTACAAAATGTGGAAAACAAACTGCAGTTATTTCCCTTCCACATCGCTGCCCTCTTACCGCTATTATTCCCTTCGCTTGACATACACTGTCCTGCCCCAAGCCCTACACAGATTTCAGTTGCTGCCGCAAGTAAATTTAGTTGAATGCCAGCGACACGTGGAAAGAGCAACGGTAACTGCCACGCCACGGGCAACGCATTTGAGTCCCAGTTGCCGGTAACGCTGACATGTTGCTGCAAGAGTACGCAGTCCGTCCAGGCGACAAAAGTGTTGTAGAAAGTAGTCTTAACTTGATGCATACGATGCGATCAGCCATAGAAATAATTGATTGATTAATTCATTAACTTAGGGACCTTGAAGATAGTGTTTCTACTAAATTCTCATCCAGCAAAACATTACACTTGTAATTTAATCAACCTTCAATATGCGAGAAGGACGACTTCGGTATCAGTGCTCTTGTGATCAAACCTAGCTCAAAATAATGTAATTCAAAATACTTGTGTATCCAAATCGAAATAGAACAAATTTAGGAACAGAAACAGTTCAACATATCTTTTTAATCGCTTCACAAATTTAACGGCCAAATTCTAAGCAATCAAATAGAAAGAGATCTTTGAAAACTTCACACCTCAAGATGAAATTTCGCAACAGTTAAACGAGGAATTTGTACAAGTTGGTTTTGTGTCCACTCGTAAGGTGTGCGGAGCGATAGAGAATGTGCTCAGTATGTGTGTATGTGTGTATGTACTAGTAAATTATTCTGTATATGTGTGTGTGTGTGTGTGTGCTCTTGCGTTTGCCTTTGTGTGTTAGCTGAGTGTGTATGTGTATGTGTATCTTGAGCAGCAAAACTTTTAACTTTAGTGCACAACTTACCTCAACTTTTACTGTTGTAAAAATTTGTCAACTTTGGGCTCGTTGCTTTCGACTTCGTCCTGATTTCCGCGGCCTGTGGCCCTGCGCCCTTCGAGTGGTTCAATTTCAGAGTCGGCTATGCAGAAACTTTCTGTTGCAGTTGCAACAAAGTTCGTTGCTTCTCGTAATTGATGCACTCAAAGGCGGCGGCATGCTAAAGAATAAAACGCACGTTTTGCAGGTAATAAATTTCCAAAGCAATTTAAATTGATTTAAGGCAATGGACAGTTTTAATATTAAATAAAATGCCCTCAACCCGTATTTAAATCGTGACAAAATTGCCACATGTGAGTTTCAATTAAATATTTAGTTTCTGCGGGGTTTGGGGCGAACTTTTGATGTAACTTTTGTCAAGAATAGCAGTAGTAGGCTCAATGAGCGTGTTGTGGCCTTTTCGAGAGCTTAGGAAGAGAGGAAACTGGTTACATGGAACATAGTCGTACATGACATGGCAGTGTGTAAAGCGAAGCCTCCAACTCAAATACTCGAATTCGAAAGAACAAACGGCAGACGGCACAAGGAGAAATGAACAGCGGCAGACAGTCAAATGATGGGAATGAAATATGTGTGGGTATCCGGGAGCATGGAAGGAGCATGAATTTCCAAGCAGTTGAAATGTTGAACCGAGCGGGATTTGCTTTGTTTTGTCGCCTCGGCTCATGCAACATAAAATGATCAGGACATGAAAAACAGGCAGCAAAAGGAGCAGCAGCAGCAGCAGCAGCAGCAGCAGTAGCAGAACAGCAGACAGCAGCCAGCAGGCGACAGACAGCGACAGCAGTTGCAATAGTCGGAGCTGCATGCGGTTTGCGGTGGCATTTCACTTGCTGCATAGTTTGCCTACAGGCTGGGGACTTAAGTTTGAGTTCGAGTTGAGTTTTGGGCGTTCGCTGAACCTCCGCTGCTGCAAACCCACAAAAATAAAGCAAAGACGACGACGACGACGACGACAAAGTATGGCAACAATGCATAACTTTTTGCAGCTCCTCACTCTATACGTATGTGTTTGCGAAAAATTGAAACCGCAAATCATTTTCTAAACAATGCATATGCCATGTCATATATGAGGCAAGCAAATGGGTAATTGCGCCTTTGTTCAACCCGCCAACTTCAACCCAGTCATAAAGTGTGTCCGAATGAAAATCATGTTCATAACATTTATAGAATTGCAATTTAAAATGTATTTTCACTGACAGATGATATTTTTTATTATCTTGACGTCCATTCGTTTGTTGCGCATAAGGCATATATAATATTCTTGTACAAACTCAATTGCCGAATAGCAGCCACGTGCGTCCACCTGTCTGTCTCTGTATCCTCCAGATTCTCTCAACTCGAGCTTTCAGACTTTTGGTGTGACTAACTTTACTAAACTGTAAATAGGACAATAGGACTGTTCGATCCGATATTTATTTAATGCAAAATAATCGATACATTATAAGTTCGATATCTTCCATAATCTGGTAGCACTGTGCATTGTCAAAAGAAAATAACAAATTGTCAGGCAAAAATTCCTAATTCAGAAACAGTTTGGAAAAACTGTTCAACCGAAGCAGATCGAGCTCAACAAATAGTCAGTTTACAAATTTGCTGTCGTTCCGATTTGACTGCATACAAAATATATTGCATGTAAGTACTCCGAATTCAGGGATTATTAGACAGCAGCACATTTATAATGCCTTCTATTTTATTTTTGTATATTCTCATCCCAAACTGAAGGATTAAAGATGCCACGCAAACTATACAAAAGGAAATGGGCAGCTGCTGAACCAACCGAAGTCCCTGACAATTCTGCTGAGGCTTCTCAAGTCGCTGCCACAACTGCTGAACCTTCTCAAGTCGCTGCCACAACTGCTGAACCTAGCACGGTAGCTGATGCATCCGAAGTAAGTGCTGAAGACTTCGAAGTCGGTGTCAAGACAGTAGCTTCAGCGGTCGCTGTAGAAGTCGCTGCCACAACTGCAGAAGCTGTTGGAGTCGCACCAGATGAGTTAGACAACGACAACGTCGACGACAAACCGATGTCCAGCCACAATGCTGTTGCTTACAGCAAAAATCCGAAAGCGGAGTCCTGTGCAGATCCCGTTTTGGTCGATTTACACAATAACATGCTGCGCATGAGCGATATCAAGCTACTGCATGGTCCTCATTTTCTGAACGATGCTGTGCTCGGCTTTTATATGACCTATCTAGACCAGATTAAGTACAAACCAAATTTATTCTATCTGTTTGTGACACCGGAACTGTCCCAATGTTTGCCCTACATGGACAAGAAGCAGCAAGAAATGGCGCTATTACAAGATCGCTTGGCCCTTACCAAATCATTCATATTCTTTGCGGTGAATGACGGATTGTCGAACGGACGCGACGGCATCTTTTGGTCTCTGCTGGTTGCGTCGCGGCCAAATAATTCCTTCTATCACTTTGCTTCGTATAGCAACAACAATATAGATAACGCAGTGGAGCTGTTCAACAGTATTAAAGATGTTGTGGGCATGCCTGAAGCAAGCTTTCGCGTCGGGAGTTGCACGCAACACAAGAAGGACTACGATTGTGGCATTCACGTCATGTGCATGGTCGATCATCTGGTTGACCATGTGATTTGCTACAATACCATCTCAGGTGTTAAACTGTTGCCCCGGAAAGTGATCAAAATCAAGCGCAATACGCTTATCACACTGATCGCCTCGCTGAGTAAGCTAGGTAAACACTAAACCATTACAACAGAAATAGAATAGGACGCAGCAAACAGCAAGTAATAGAACTCCCTACACTACGATATCCAGTTTCCATTAGGAATACTGAAAAGCTGTATACTAACGTAACCATAAATTAATGTTTTTAAACATTAATAAACTTATTGCAAGTTTATAAAACAATAATTTAATAAGGTAGGCTCGAACATAAAATAATATATAGTAATAATAATGAAGACATTTAATGTTTGTTTGATAGATAGCATAAAATGTATTGACACTTAACTCAGGAAACACTAGGCGTGATTGTGTAATATACAACCAAAACTAAAGAAAATAATATCTTACCTTGAGGCATTTACCCTTTTGCCCTCCCCTTGACCCACTCTCCCCTTCCATATTTTTCAATAGCACCATACGTGTAATTCACAGCTTGATTCGCTCCCAATTGTGCAACACACACACACACACACACACACACTTGACTTCCTGGCTAAGGGTTATACAACAACGACACTTGATATATAATCAATTTCGGTAATTCCTGTATTCCAATTGGCTCATTTTAGATCCTGACACAAACGAAAATTAAAATTGCCTACAATATTAATGGATTCAGTTGTTTATTTGAATTGGGGCTTTAGGTGCATTTCGACTATAAATGATCTACATCTAATTACTAAATTTTATAGCTTTCACTGCAAGAAATACTTTGTCCGAGGAAGACGTCCTCCATACTCCATATAGAATCGTTCAATTGCGTCAAGTCCGTGTGCGCCTCTGCCATTCCAGTTTAAGGAGACGCCATTTGCTGCATAAGGAAAAATCCAACACTTGTGCTTTGTTTGCCATTTCAAAAGGGCGTAAAGGGCGACAATTGTCCAAGTAGTCGTAGTGCAAATGCGTAACGTCCTCAGCCATTCATTGGCCAGTTTCCTCTTTGCCATGCGTACTTATTGTTGCATTACTGTACACAATATAAGCTAGTCTTACGCTCGAAGTGAAATTATTCCAAATCCTTGTCGAAACCTTGTCTGATTATTTACTTAAATTAACCGGCATATTATACATATAATATGCAACTAATCTAAGAGATCAGATAGATCGATAAGTGCTTATGCATATATATATATATATATATATATATAATTCAATGTTTTACTTACGCCTTAACCTGCCCTCGCTGAATGCCACCGGTCTGGCAGCGATTCAACGATTAAGTGTGTGTATAGCGTGTCGCGATGTAAATACAATTTTTGCACATTTCACATTACGCATTCAGCCCTCAATATGGATATGGCAGCTTTGAAATGCAATTGCCAGAGAGGCTGAAAGGCAGACAGGGCCAAAATACCAAATGGTCACCAGAAATTGGGCCTAGAGTCACTCCAGAGTCGGTACGCTGGCCATTCAACGCCGCAGACAAAGCGGCGACTGGCGAAAACGAGTAAAATCCCGTTCCTAGTCGCAGTCCGGACAAACGCAAAGTTCTGCACTGAATGCCAGGTCCTGATATTAATGCGAACGAACTCAATTCAAAGGCGACCATTCAAAAAGCAGCTGCCCCAGAAGAGTATAAAAAAAAATGCTGAACTCTCTGTGTTTAAGTCTGCTCTTGCAGAATGTGTAAGCTATTGAATTCATCCGTAAAAGCGGGCGGGGGATCATTAAATGAAAATCAACCGAAATGGGTAAAAAAAAAAGGTTAATGAAGTTAAAGAAGTGTAAAAGTATGTAACAGGCAGAAGAAAGTATCTCGGATCCCATATATATATATATCTCTTTTTAAGCTTGTAGGTTTAAAAATTAAAAAGTGCACGACTTATTAGGTGAATAGTTGGGTTCAGGATATCTCATAGTCGACATCTCTTCACTGTAACATTTTCACATGTTTTCTTTTTACAAAAAACCTCTTGCTTTTGAAAATAGGATTAGTTCGAATAAAACTATACAAGCTGTATACAATTTGGAGCCGTCTGAAATAGTTTTGGAGGAGTGAGAACTTTTGGATCTGGAGCTAACAAGTACGTGCAAATAAGTCGAAAAGATTGAATGAATACTGAATAAGCTTCAGTAAATTGTTATGAATAAATAAACACTTAGATATATTTTTATTATGTAACGTAATAATTTGGAAATTTGTGGTTTTGGATAAAATAGCTCGACGACCAGCAATTGAATAAATATCTAAGGCCCACTAAAATCCAAGCACTTGCTATTGAAATGAAGTGTCAACACTGAGTCCTAGTTCCAATCTTAACCACGTTGCTGGCTTTGCTCGCGTCGGAGACGCTGACCATAAGTGTGGGCGCAAAGGCGAAATGAGTCCAGGAAGCGATCCATACACATGTTGATGCAGTTCTCCTCCGGACCACTCAGATGGTCGCGTGGCTTTGTTACGCACTTCTCGAAGCACTTGCAGCTGACGGTGGCCAACAGCTCCTGGACATTGGCTAGGGCAATCTGGTGCTTGAGGTGACGCATCACCTCCTTCGTCTCCCTATCGTAATCCATGCTTCTCTCTCACACGCACTGTCTACCTCTTTGTCTTCTGCTCACTCGCACTCCCATTCAAACTGAAATTTCTTTATGTGGCTCTGGTCCTGAATCGAAAACTGGCCCTAAAAGCATTGATGACAAATACAGAGTCAACTCTGTTAAATCAAACTTACTTCAAATGCTGATCAAAGCTTGCACAACACATTTTGTGATACCCTCTGGGAGGTCGACATTGCTATCATACTCTTGGCTGGGTTATCTACTTATTTACAGAGACTAGCTTAAAACTGAAAACGTAGAGGATATTTGGGAATAGCTGAGCTGCTGGGACTTCAGCATAATAGCAATGCAGATACACTCGGGAAATCGTCAAGTAGGATCCAGTGCGGCCAATCAGGTTTCTTTGATCAGTTTTCGGCAGTTGAGGCCTAGACATAGGAAGTGCAGATGCTAAAGGAATCCACCGTCACGTTTTATATTGATATAAAAAAAAAATAAAAAAATACAGCTACAGAGGGAAAAAAAAACAACAAAATGCCAACAACCAACAGCTAACAACAGACAATAAATGGCTGAACAAATTTCTGCGCATTTCACATTTGCCAGCCCCGTTCACGCCGTACGTGCTACGAGAAACGGGGGCTTAAAGAGTGGCAAGTGGGGCAACCGGTCCTAACCCATTGGCAAGCGGATGCCGGCGTCCACGTACCAATGGAAATGGTATTGGCAGCGCCAAAACCAGCGACACGGCACGGAAATTGCAATTGAGTGCAAATTGTTGAATTTGGACGATCGGGGCGGTGGCGGTTGCAACATCAAATGGCGGGCGGAGCGGGGGATGGTGGGCGCAACGTGATGGAGTTTTGAGCTTGAGTGGGTCAACCGGCAGAAGCTTTGTTTTACCTTGGCAACGGCTCCATGCTTAACCAAAGACCAACAATCCGGGCAATGACTAAATATTTCATATGCTGCAGCTCGTAACTCGAGCCGCAAATGAATAAATCTGTTCGAGATTTTTCGTGCCTGGGACCAAGCTGGCATTATGCACGGCAATTTGTGTGTCCCACGGACAGGCGGCTTTAATCCAGCAGGATTCAGCAGACAGCAGACAGCAGACAGCAGACAGCTGGCAGCTTTAAGGACTCATGCTTCTCTCGAAAGGTAAACAAGTGGGTGGCATCATCATGCGCACGCACAATATAAACAGCACAGCACAATATACAACAAGCAGGCTGGCAGGCAGGCTTCACTTAATGCCCCTTCTCATCCTGGGAGAGGCCACCCGGCACTCTCCCGTTGCATTGGCTTTGTTTGCTCTAGCCTTTAACGCTGCCGACGCGGCGCGACTTGTGTCGATTGTCACGTTCGGGTGCGATTTTTATCGCTCACAAAACGCTTGAAAGGCAACTTTAATTTAAGCTGCTCGACAACACAAGCTTAACTTTGGCTCGGTAAACCTATCTACAACAAATATACTTAAACATACAACAAATAATACACGAAATGTGACGAACGCAGTAAAAACTCACATCAGTCGGAACATTATAAATATGCCTAACCGGGTCAATTTGCATAGCGAGTGGAAAAATAGATTTTTTTGATTTTGTTTTGGTCTGTCAAACTGAAAATAATTATGGAAACAGTTACAGTTTGTGAGGCGAGAAGTCTGAGAAGTCTTTCGCTTAAGCCTGTCCAATGGTCACCTAGCCATCGATGTGGGACTCAATAATGTAGTAAGCCTGTTGTCACATAATAACTCAATTATTAACTACAAATTTATGTTCAAATTTCTTGATTGTGATTTATTCAGGCATATTATGCCAAGCGACAAAACCCAAATAGATGTCTTTAACATTGCGATGTGTGGCTCTATCGGCATTTAGTAAATAGTTAAGCTTGTGTGTTCTGTGTTAATAGGATCTTCCAAGTGACTTCAAAACACAATTATTTTATATTTACAACAATTTTTTGGACACATGTGGCTGCGTGTGTGTGTGTGTGTGTGTGTGTGTGTGTCTGTGCTTAAACAGCAATAACTGTAAATGACAAACAAATGCACACATTGAATTCGTCGAATAAAATCACTTTAAATATCAACAAAGGAATTCAGGATTTCTGGACAGTCGGCACACCCAAACACAAACACAAACACATACACAGAGGAAGCACAGGTAAATAGGCTGCACATTAAAGCAAACAAATAACAACAGCATCCTGTCTGCCCCCCTCCCCCCCACACCCTTGCAACCAGCCCCACAGCACAGCAATTGGACTCCATATGTGCCCAAATTCCTGCAGGTATAGAGATTGGCTGCCCACCTTTAAATATGACCATTTATCCCATCAGACTCTGTGCATCTGCGTATGAATTTGTGGCTATGTATCTGTGTCTGGATTTGTAACCGTGTGTGTGTGTGTGTGTATAGGTTTGTTGTCTGCTTGTCAGAGTGCGTGTAAATGTCATGCAGAGGCCCAAATACGAGTAGAAAAATATTTTAATAACTTCTCGTATTGTCGGTGTTTGCCAACCAAATGTTTTCATTAGCCAACAAAAAGAGCATCGTCAGATGTGTGGTCAGTAAGCTTGTCAGTTAAGTTAATGGCCACAGAGACCGTAAGCCGTTGAGAGAGATAGAATTAGAGAGAGAGAGAGAGCGCGCGAGTGAGAAGGAGA